AAAATACTTTATTCAGAGACACTTGGTTTTTACATGATGCCTTTTTTATGCTGAGGGTTACATCTAAGTCGGCAGTTCACTTTGTTAGCATGTATGCTCAGACTCATTTCTGCTGTGACAATTTCACACACATTTGTTTTTTGGTTGTTTGAGATGATATTGACAACTTCGAGGAGTACTACTCAGCCATGTCATAGAATGTTTCCAAGTTGGGGTTTCTTCATTGTGTGTCTCTTTATCAGATCTGTGTTTTGGATAGGGTGAAGACTGGTTGTAAGGCCCAAGTGCCAACATTACCAGATCATACCAGGAGTACCTGCCACCCACACAGCTTTGCTGAAGATGTTGGCTGAACACAGGGTGATATTGTGCCAGGATTCTCAACACTAAGGCAATTTTCTTCCCCTTCTTTCTACATTGTATGACTGAGAAGAAAATCAATACAGAGAGACCAAATCTAAGTAGTGAAGAATTTTGTTTTCTGACCTTTAGGTTAGAGTATCAATATCAAGAAATCCTTCTATGAAAGGCATTTATCTATGCTTTTTTTGTGAAATTTTCAGCTGTGTATTTAATGAGTATATATTATATATGTTGATATACACATACACATACTATATATATATACATACATGTATATGAGACAGACTCAGATATATGTTGTATTTGATTCTACAATGCAACATTTTATTATTTGTTTTGTTAGTTAAATTTTTCTGTCTTTGGCAACTGGAAACCCTTCAGTTATCTCCTATGTACCCTTGACCTTTGGGACTTTTTTACAGAGTTCTTTGCATTCAGACACTAGGAGAGTGTCTGAGCAAACTTCTCTTGTTTGTGATCACCCAACATGACCAGAGTGTGCATTAGCTTGGTTTCTTAGTTTTTTTTATTATTATTAAGGGACTTATTTTAATTTATTTACATGCCAACCACAGATCCCTTCCTCTTCCCTCCTCCAACAAGGTAAGGCCTCCCATGGGGAGTCAGCAGAGCCTGGAATATTCAGTACAGGCAGGTCCAAGCCCCTCCCCTATAGTTTCTATTGTTATTGACATATTTTCTGTTTGGCTCTCCCTGTGTATGTCTGTATACATTTATTATTGCATATAATTTATTAGATGGAGAGGAGAGGAAAGCAAGAGATAGAGAATTATCAGGATGCAGTAAATAAAAACAACAGTAGAATATACTGATTTCTGGAATCCTCAAGACAGAGGTCAAGGAAAGACCTCTTATTGGCCTGCCTTGTTTGCCAGTCAGCATATTTTAACCTAGGTTTCCTGTCCACTTCCACATTACAGGCGTTACAGTTATAGAACCACCCACATTTATAATAGTTTAACTCATGTGTAAATGGTGAGGGTAACCAAATAAAGTTAGAGCATGTCAAAATACCATTAAAGTGCAGTCCTTTACATGGAATTGTGGAAATGTAGGCATTTTTAGAAACATTCCACTGCGAGACTAAAAGGAGATATTCACCCATGAAAACGATAGCGTGGGACTGGAGAGATTGCTCAGCGGTGGACGTGCTAGCTGGCTATGCAAGCATAAAGACCTCGGCTTGCACGTTCAAAGAAAGGTGCTATGTTGTGAGTCTGGGACCCCAGTGCTGGTGACGGGAGGGCTCGAGGACAGGAGAGGGGGGAGATCTCATGGGCCAGCCAGCCTAGCCAACTGAGGAGAGCTAGTCTCCACAAAGAAATAAACAAAATGGAGAAAAATTGAGGAAGACGTCCAACGTGGACTTGTTGACCTCTGCTCTTCACATGCATGCACATACATATTAACATGCATCTGCATACACATATGTCAACTTGTAAACACACACAACAAAACGTCAATATTAGGTGTCAGTAACTCCATTGCATCCATCATTGAAGTGTTCATGTTACTACTGAGGGCAGCTCCGTGGAGCAGGTGGCACTCTTCCTGTTGGGCCTCTGTTTGTGCTCAGGCATCCATGCTCAGGGCCGCTGCTGACCAAAGTCACGCTGTCAGTAAATATGCAATCAGAATTTGGACTCAGAGTTCTTCAGATTCCAGAATCATGTTTCCCCCCAAATCCTTATTAGTAAGTCCTACAGTCACTGTGTTATTGCCAAAGTTTGTGGTGGTAAGAAGGGAGGGAGCGAAGAGAAGAGATAAGAAGATGAAAGATGGAGAGAATGAGAAGAGAGGAGGGAAGATAGAGGCAGAGAGAATCAGCGATGGAGATCTAGTCACAATAAATGTCATCAGGGTGACTTTTAAATTTGTCAGGTCCCGCAAAGCAGAAGCTTGCTGTAAAAATGAATATTGTCAGAGCTGGGATATTCTTGCGTGAAAAACTGTCTTCATTGTCACACACTGGGAACTGAACCTCGGTCTCGCGCATGCTAGGCAGGTGCTCTCTCGCTGAGTTACACATCAGGCCCCACTTTCCCTCTCTTTTGAGACAGGTTCATGCTACACTGTGCTCGCCAGGCTGAGCCGGAATCCTCACCATAGCGTTACACTGGCTTTAAACCTGCTGACCGTGCTTTCTTAGGCTCCTTGGTGGCTGGGAGCCCACACCTGTGTCATCAGGCAGGGGCTTATGTTTTGTAGTCTCCAGAAAAAATAAACTCACACAGACGTTAAAAACAATGAGAACCCAATCTCAGAGTTCCCAGAACTCTGAAGCTTTGCATGCTTTAATTAACTTAACTCGGTTATGGATCAGACAGTATTTTCCATAGACTTTTGTATTATATTTCCTGTAAAGAGATAAAGGGAAAGGTGAGGCAAGAATGGAAGAATTTGAAGGCTGACAGGCAATCTTTATGTTACGAAGCTAGGTTTTGCTGGGTTAATTAAAGTGTAACACTTCCGAGGGCGGGCACCAGCCGAGTCTCTGTCATCCCCTTCAGCAGGAGCATTTCTGAAGCTCTTATCGCCAAACTTCCTCCCTCTTCCGCATTCCTGGACTGATCACTGCTACCTGTGGGAGCCATGAGCTTCAGCAAAACTTATGTCACACAATTTGATCCATGTTACCTCTGCCAGTCAATTCTGTCACTGTGGCAGCTCACATTCCATGTGGAGTCATCACAGGGTTTAACAAAAGTGCTTGCCAATGAAACAGTTATACTGATAAAAGGAGAAAAAAAAACTGCTTTCTTTAATTGCCCTGAATATAAATTCTCCCTCCCGTGGTGTGTGTGTGTGTGTGTGTGTGTGTGTGTGTGTGTGTGTGTGTGTGTGTGTGTGTTTGATGCAAGTCTCACTGAACTCAGATCTCACAGATTTGGCTAAACTGTTGAGGCAACTGGCCCCAGAACCCCGCCTGTCTCCATCTCCCCAGCACTGGGATTTTAACACACTAGGAAGGCATGCTTGCTTATCTTAATGTGGGCACTAAGACCGAACGCTTGAGTGACAAGCACTTTAGCACCTGAGCCATCTTCTCAGCCTGGGAACATAGTGTTACTGCAATGAAGATGAGCTACGCACTTATGCTCTGTCTTGGTTTACTGAGACAGAAAGCCTGTATGCTTAGGTTCTTAGCCCCAGATAAGAAACTGAGTGGGAACAGCATTGCTGACATTTTGCTGATGAGTTAATGACTGGACCTTGACTTGAGCAGAGGAGCATCTCACTCGTTATTGTGGAACTGGTGGTACAAACCTAGCTGAAGACATAGGGAGTTAGCCCAGTTCCTGAGATCTGACCCACGAATGTGTTCCTATAAATCATGTGGAGTTGCTGTCAGGTGCTTATTGACAGAATTGGACAGGGAAAGCTGCTGCTCTTTGGTTTTAAGTTTTGCTGTTTTAAAGAATGCAAGGCAGAGAAGTCACCGGGGTTTGCACCAGAAACCTATGTTGTCAGGGATGAGTTTCCTGAGGAAGAATTCGGCCTTGTAAGGTTCTTGTGTTCCTCACACCACGGGAAGGCTTGACAGACTAAGTGCTCCGCAAACGTGTGTTGAATGAATAAGGGCTGCCATCTGCCCCTCTTTTCTTCTTTCTCTTTTCTTTATAAATTTTGTGTTCTGAGGTGATTTTACCCATTTTTTCCCAATATACCTCATTTAATGTCAGCTAGGTAACACCTATGTGAAGAGAAAGTAGGTCTACTTGTGGAATTATCTCAGACAAAAAGAAACCTACTTCAAAGACTTAAGTGAACTAGGGAAACACTAATAGGCTGAAAGGTATCATACTGTCACAAACAGGAGGAGCCGCCCCTTACCACTTCTCCTTTCTGCCCTTCTGAGTAACCCCACCTCTTAAAGCTGTCTTCCTGGTTTTCAGCCCCATTAGTCTCTCACCTACGATCTGACTCCTTGTAAGATTCTTGCCCTTTTCTGGCCTTTACATGCACACATCAAAACCACCGAACAGCGCAGCGTCAGAGGCCAGCTCCTTCTAAGACACTGAGTGCTTTTCTGCTGCTGAGGACAAGTAGACGGTTGACAAATCCTCTGCCAGTTCTCATTTATTAGTGATAGAAATGGCAGTTCCCCCACAAGCAGGAAGTGAAAAGAGAAAATAATTTGAGCTTCTCTGAGTGAATCTGGGAACGGCCATAAGCTGCTTCTGTTTCTCACGTTGTTTCTCCTCAGGCCACCCCTCTTCTCTTATCAGGCCTCCCCTCTTCTGCCCCAGGTCTCCCCTCTTCTCTCCAGGCCTTTCTTGTTCTCTACTGTGTTGCCTCCCATTCAAAGGTGGCGTAGTACGTAATTATGATGACACAGTGCTCTTCTCTAGTGCTGCAGCTCCTCTTTGCTCACTAAGATGCTTCTTTGCTGTGTCCCTCAAGGTTCTAATCTCAGAGGGACTTAACATTAACAAAAATCCAATAAACACTCGATACAATAGCTATTAGCTGATTCAATAGCTAAGTCCATGCTGGTGAGTTAACACTAAACACAGGTAGACACATTTTTGAGTTACATCTTTGTGTTTTGATCCTTTTGAGTCTTGAAAAGGACAAACACTAAGCACCCTCAGTCTACTTTGCTGGCTCTTTTCTCCCATTCTGACAGCTCATCTATTTTCAATCCTTCCCATGTTTTTTTTTTTATGGTGTTTTACTCCCTGTTATTCCAGTCCAACATAATTTTATGTGTTGAAGGCATTGTTCTTAGTGGCATCCAACATATAGTACATTATCACATATGCCTATTGAGCTTTTCTTGGAGATTACTTTGCTTTAGAAAGTGAAATTTTCACTAATTTTAATTTATAGTTCATTCAGCTGGTTGGTGCCATATAGGACTGTGGCTTTGAAAACTTTATTCATGTTGATTTTAGACCTACATTACACTAGTGATATTCCCACTTGTCACACCCATTGTTTTGGGTTCCATTCTGTACATCATCTTCACAAGGGCTGCAGATGACTTCCACGATGACTGTACATGACCCCTAAAGTGACAGAGGGCGAGCTCTACAGTGGCGACAGGTGATCTCCACAGTGGTCATTGAGTGTTCTCCATGTCACCATCCTGCCTCTGTCATGATTGTTCCACATCACTGTAGAACAGATCATATTTAACACATGCACATTTCTTTACTCCCCAGCTCAAATCACTGTATTAGTTTCAATTCATGCTATAACAATTACCACAACCAGAGTCAATGAAAACATTACAAATTAATTTTCTTATATTGTCATATTGACATCTAGCAAAGGTCTTATTGGGTTATTATAATCAAGGTGTCCACAATATCTCAACACTCTTTTGCTCTTTGGGCCTTCTCTGAGGGAATCAGTGTTTTTGTTATGTATCCAAAGTCAGCAGTATAACCTCATTCTGATTACAGCTTCTGTCAATATTTCTCTTCCCAATGACCAGAGTCAAAGAATGTTCCTTGAGGTTACCATCTTCTGTAGTTAGATGGAGCTCACCTTGATAGCCCAGAATGATCTGTTCCTTCCAAGGTCTTGATCATAGTTAAATGTCCCCTCATAATTTCTGAGGTTTCCAAAATGGCCATCTTGTGAGGAAATTACACTTATTACCAATGAGTGACTTTAATATCTCTAGTCACATCCATAATCCCATCACCTTTGGACTTAGTTGTTCCCTAGCTTTTGAACTGGTTTCCTCCCATTGTCCAGGCTGCTTTATGATTCTTGATACTCCCTTCCAAAATCATTTCTCCTATTTGTTACATCCTCCACATCATTTACAGAAACCTTCACATGTCTTCTGAGAGTTCTACTCAACTTCTGTTTCCTTGGAGACACCATCTGTAAACTTCCTGATGGAACAACAATTGTGACACTCTGAATACAACATTCCGCAACAGCTGAGACTGAGCTACTAGAGTTTGCTCAGAAACCAATTCTTTTTTGAGATTGTATTAAAGTAAAATTTACTTATGTATCTTGTCCATGTCCCCCAGTAAGTTTTAACATGCAGTACAATCAGGAACCCCATCTTCTAGCTCATGATACAGTTCCTAACACCTACACCAGTGTGTAAGCTCTTTAAATATCCACTGAATGAATGGTTATTATAGTGTTGATAAATAATGTTTTTATAGTAAAAGAACACAATTTGACAATTCTTAATCTATTTAATAAATTTCAATAAAGGCTCATGCTATTATGTAAAAGTGTATATTCACTCATGGATAATATATTCCCATTTATCTTATCCATTGTCAGTGTAACTTCTTAGGCTAATTTAACTCTATTGATATAATTTACAAAGGAAATACTGTGCTTTTATGATTATACTTAAGAAAACTATATTTGCTTATTGTACCATGTAAATGTAGGTACATGATAAATTACATTTTCATGAGAACAAAATAATTCTAATGAAAGCAAGTGGGAGAAACACACTACTAATAAAATTAGATACATTCTTATTTTCAAGAGTCACTTTAATATCCATTTCTCTGATTAAAACTGCTCGCTCCGTCAATGCAAAAGTCCCAAACTCCTCTTTAGTATCTGTACATAGAATAACACACTAATTGTTGCCATGGTAATTTACAAAGCTTGCAATTCTCAGGCAAAGTCTGGCTTCTCTGTATTAAATATTTATAAAAAATAATTAGATGTTTCCATCCTGTTGTGTGTCACAACTTTATGTGTCTGTCCACAGCCCATATCTAGATTGCATACTGTGAAGCTAAAACAATGAAAACTTAAATTAAACGAGGACTATTTACCAGTTATTGGGTATTGACACATTTGGAAGGAGGTTTTAATGGATGGACTCTCTAGTTTGGACTAAATCCATTTTGGCAGCTGCTTCCCATGACCAACTTAGTAACTGCTGCTTAGAGTTGCGTGTTTTGTCCAGTGGCCAGAAAGGCAGTTATGAATAGCCCCAAGTTCATGGGGTTTCTTCCATGTACCACGGGAAGCATGAGTAAGTGTGGAGGAGATCACTAGGAGAACTGGTGTGCAGAGATCTAAGAGTTTATTACTGAACCAGAAATGGGGGCATTAGCTCATCAAAATACAAAAAGAGAGTAACTAAATAAAAAGGAAAATTATGGCTGGCAAAATGTCTTCGTGGTTGAAGATGTTTGGTGCCAAGCCCGATGAGCCGAGGACCTGAGTTCAATTCCTAGCATCTACACAGCAGAAGGAAAGAAGCAGCTCCCACAGTTACAAGTTGTCCTTTGATTTCTGCACAGCACAGTTCACACACACACACACACACACACACACACACACACACACACAGACTAAATAGGTAATTAACAAGTTGTTTAAAGTAATAATTAGAAGTGTTGCCATCAGTACCACATACTTGTGCATCTCCTTTTGTTTCCTTATTACTCTGTATTAAAGCACAGGTGCATTCTCTAACCCAGTGGTCAGAGTCTTATTGATATCAGACTCTATGGTGTTTGTCTATGGCAGATCTGGTGCTGAGACCAGGCTGTATCTTGCTCCAGGTTACTCTGTATTGTCTAACACGGTGATTATTTTCATGCTGTGTCATGCCACAAGATACTCCATTTCCAGGTAGATTTAGACCTTGTTTTAAAATGTGGAGGATGGGTGTGCACCTGTGTGAACAAGTGAATGGTGGTACCCTTTGTCCAGCACCACCCATACAGCAAAGGCTGATGAATTGCTTACTCCTGAGGATCAGAAGTGTGTCATTCAATAAATTTTATAATTTATTGAGAATAATTGAGGCCATTGGGGCAGTTGATCCTATTAAAGTGATGTCATGAAAACCAGCTCTAAGAACTTAACAGATGCATCAGGTTGAGGAAAAGATTTAATCTGGGCCTTAGTAAGAGGAGAACACCTAAGGCTGTGGTGATCACAGCCTACTAATCTTTCATCTGACAGCCCAGTCTGTGTCTCAAGGACCCGTAAGAAGAGACATCCAGACTGCCCCAGTGGCTTCAGTTGAGCTTGGTCCTCACTAAAGATAAGTTGTGCTTATCTTCTTTCTTCTTGTTCACTCATCTGGAACTGCTGTCCATCCATCCATCCATCCATCCATCCATCCATCCATCCATCCATCCATCCATCCACTCACTTCTTTGTCTGCCTGGGGCCAGCACTACCCTTTTGCTCTGTAGCCAGAGTCAGTTCTGAAGCTTCCTTCTCAAACTGTTAACTGCAGTGGCCTGACCTGCAAGCTCTGCAGCATCTCTTGCTTCTTCTCTGGCCCCATTTGGCTCATTCTCTTATCAATACAGAGATTCTTGCATCCCAATCACTTTCCCACATTATGGCATTTCAGAGCACTTTCAAATTCATTAGCTATTTCATCCTTTGCAGCCATTCCATAACCTACATATATCCATACATGCAGCACAGATACATTTATTGTGTGATGTGTAATATGTGATCTGAGAGTTAACATCAGTAACAAAGATTATAACAAGAACATTTATTTGCCTTGGTCAGGGCTATCAGGGAGACTGGAAGTATCTGGAAAAATTTCCCATTAAAATAACGATATCTTGTGAATTTATTGTTATTCAGTTAATTCTGACATTATGGATAGACACAAATACATTTGCCTATATCTCTGACATATTGGACTCACTATATTGGGGTTATCTTGATTATCTCACAAAGCATTTAATAGCTTTATTTTTAAATGTAAAGATATGGGTTAGGTGGATAAACTGTAAATAAAACACTAACCAATATTCATGATATATGGATATCAATTAATAAATAATGTCAAGAAAATAATTTTGCCAGGCAGTGGTGGCGCACGCCTTTAATCCCTGCACTCGGGAGGCAGAGCCAAGCGGATCTCTGTGAGTTCGAGGCCAGCTTGGGCTACCCAGTGAGTTCCAGGAAAGGCGCAAAGCTACACAGAGAAACCCTGTCTCGAAAAACCAAAAAAAAAAAAAAAAAGAAAAGAAAAAGAAAATAATTTTATGATTGTTAACAATATGGTCTACAATTTTCCATGGAATTTTAAGTCAGCTGTTCCATGACCATGAGGTGCTGATAGATTACAAGCATAGCAGTTTAGTTCTGATTATACTTAGGAGAATACATGGTAAATTTCAGTGTGCTGTGTTAGTATACAAAATCACATACACCACACCACAACTACTCTTTATTTATAAGTGTTATTATAAAGTGGAGCTACATGCAGATTATATTGAAGTTTTGGGCATGAACAGATATATCTAGCAAGTTGAAAGACTGGTCGTGTCTCTATGTTGGGACAGGTGGAGGACTAATTTCCATTATCATGATACACAAGTCCGATAAATGTGTAAAGGCTCCAGGAGAATAAATCCATTCAATGCAGTTATGTGTCAGTGTGAATATGACTATTTTCCTATACACCTGACTCCAGTACATTAAAGATTAGAGACTGATTAATGATAATTTAACAAATCCCAAAGCAAGACTACTCAGATTGTTTTCATGGTTATTTAGTTATTCAATATGAATCCACCATTAAAGTCTTGACTTTTCCTCCTTTCCTTCCTTCCTCCCTCTCTGCTTATTATTACTTAGTCAATAGTAAGTATACAAAGCACAATTACTCTATCTTACAGAGGTTCCTTTCTAGGATCCAGGTCCTCATCTAAATTCACAGAACTCATGATATATATCTATAACTTATAATTCTGTTACAGAAACCTTTCACTAGTACAATGTCACACTCCAGTATATCCACTATTTATACTGTGATAGTTAGTTTAACACACAGTGTTTTGGGCAGTTCTGGTTTGAGTGTGTAATGCCCACTGCAAGCTTATGTTTTGCGTACTGCATTGTGAGCTGATGGGCTTTGGGAAGGGAACTAGAGGCTGGGATTACAGCCTCAGCCAGTGGATCAGTCCTCGGATGGTTTAATGATATGATGGCATTGTCTGGAAGTGGTAAAGCTTTGGACATGTGACTAGTTAGAGGAGGTGGCCACTGGGGCTGTGTTTTGTTCCGGCCTTTTCTGTGCTCCTATCTCTGCTTTCCAGTTTTCATGAGTTGGTGAACCTCTTCTTTCAATTCTCCCATAACCATGAGATTCCTCCTAAAAACATAAGTTCAATCCACAACCATGGACTGAGCCTCTGAAATCTAGGTGGAATTAAATCCTTCCTCCCTTAAGCTGTCTGCACCAGATGTTTTTATCACTGGGATGAAAAGTCTGATAAACGCAGGGAAATTTATGCTATGTTGCTTTCTTTCTTCCCGTCTTCCTCATTTCCCTTTTTTATTGTGGTAAGACTTTTCATGTAATATCTACTTTCTAAAAATTTTTGGCTATACATTACAGTGCAGCTGGTTGTAGGTACGAGGTTATACAGATCTGACTAGAACTCATTCTTCCTGCTCAGATGGAACTTTGTGCCTGTTGATTAATAATGCTTTAATCCTAATAGGCAGGACAAGTTGTAAGTTGAAGGTTTTGTGGCTGGGTTAGTGTCCCAATCCCTCCAGTGGAAATCTTGCCTAGTTACAGGAGACGGCTCATTCAGGCTTTGTATCTCCTATTGTTAAGTGTCTTAGCAAAGGTCATTCATATAGATTCCTGAGAGTTTCCATTGCACTAGGATTCTAGCTCTTCCCAGAGATGCCCCCCCAATTGTAGTTGTCTCCCCCAGTACACTTTCCCTCCATCTACCCCTTACCTGATGCCTTCTGTTCTCATCCCCACCCTCTTTCTAGTCCCCTCCTCCATCCATCTGTGATATCTGCTCTATTTCCTCTTCACAGTGAAATTCATGTATACTCCCCTTGAGTCCTCCTTGTTACTTAGCTTCTTTGGATATGT